CTCTCTCTTTCTCTATCTCTTCCTTTCTTTCTCTCCTCTTCAAGTAATTATCTTTCCTCCTTTTTAGTAACTTAATCTCTCTGTTTCCCCCCTCCTCTTCACTATTTTTTTACGAATTAATTTCTTGCTAACCCCAGATGCTTTGATGATCAATGATGTTTGTGCCCAGAACAAATGAAAGTAACTCTTTATCCCCGAGGGGGATAAACCCATTACGACGGGGCCCTTATTTGTTGCTAATCTAAAAATAACAAAAACGTCATTAAATGGGTCATTAAATCAAAACTAGCAAACCTATTTCGATAGTTCTTCAATCTAATAAATGAATTTCTTGTATAGGAGACCTTGCCGAAAAGTGATTTGATGTCGAAGTCGTTGTAAAGGAATGTGCCCGAGCGGTTGACGCTGACCGGCAGAGTGGTCCCGACCGCTAAATGGCTAAATGCACATTTTTTTACAATGTTCATAAATCCACACCCGTCTTTAGGATTACAAAAATCGTGTTTTATGCTCCTACTGCATGTACTATACTGATATTTCTATGCACCTCTCACCTCTTTCCACTTTTCTCCTATCTTTTTTTTTCTTCTTTTGCTATTGTATTCCTTCTCTATCCCATATTTCAATCATCAGATGGCTGGAGGGTCACGGGTACATGTTCCGAGCTCGACCTGAAGTGAACATCAAGGGGAAGGGCATAATGCAGACATATTTCTTAGTGGCCAGCAAACAACAGAAGATCTCAGAACCCAGGGACCAGTTTTTTCTGGAGCCCTACGCCACACCATCAGGCGGGTTCCATGGAACAGGTTTCTGTTTTTTCTTCTCTTCCTTTAATCTGTCTATCCTTCTCTCTATTAGATCTATATTTCTTGTTAATCTCAATGTGTGAGTATTTGTGTGTGTGTGTGTGTGTGTGTGTGTGTGTGTGTGTGTGTGTTTATGCGTGCGTGCGCGTGCGTACGTGCGTGCGTGTGTGTGTGTATGTGTGTGTGTGTGTGTGTGTGTATGTGTGCCAGAGCACTAACGTGTGCATCCATGCTTGAATGCTCGTGCTTTTTTGTCATTGTTATTAAGTTTGTTTTTAATTATATGAGTGTGTAAACGTCCCTGTGTTTTCGTGTGTAATATCCATTTGCCTCTGAGCTTGTCTGTCTGTCTGTCTGTCTGTCTGTCTGTCTGTCTGTCTGTCTGTCTGTTTGTCCTCGTGTTGATGCGTAACGGGGTAGATTTATGTGTCAATGGCAACCACCTGGAAAGATTAGACTAGCATGGAAATAGAAGACTGATCTTTCTGAGTGTTTTTTCTGGTTTATTGGTTGCAAGAGAGCGGTTATTTATATTATATTATATTCCTTTGTCATCCTCATTTCTTCAGCAACTTGGTGTGTCGGTCGTTACATTTTCAGATTTGGTTATAATCTATTCATTTTTGTATATGCCTAGTTGTAAAAACCAACAAATAAATTTATTTTTTTACCACCAGAATGTGCAATTTTACAAGCACCTTTGTATTCATTAAAATCTGTTCATGCCTAACTAGGAGTGATCTGAGAAGCTTGTAAAAGCCAAATTTCTCTAGCATCCTTATTTCTTTAGTAACATGATTTATTGGTCTTTATAATCTGTTAGTTTTGTTTATGCTTAGTTGTAACAACCAACAGATAGGTCTAATTGTGTGTGTCATTTTACTAGCACCTTGTAGTGACTAAAATCTATCCAAGTCTAGTTTTCATCTAAGAAACTGGACACAATCATATTTCTTTATCAACCCATTTTAATTAGAAACTCATTATGTCGATTATTACACTATGATGATGATGGTGGTGATGATGATAATTGTGTTGTTGATAATGCTGTTATTGATAAGATATTATCTACCAGAGGGAAGGGATGATTTATTGCTTTTTTTTTTTTAGTAGAAGTTTCACGGCGCTCGCAACTGCATACAGCCATATGAGCGCCTTTTCTATATTACCTTTTTGTTATTCGATGTACAAAGCAAACAGGTCTTAAAGATTACGAAACTTGTCTGCTCTTCTCAGGTAAAGACTCGGGGCCTTCAATTTATCCACCTCCTTCCCCCAACCTCACAGCCGCAGGTGATATCTCCGGAGGATCTCACAAACACAATGGTTCGAGCGAGCTTTCCAGTCACGTGATAAATTCAGAGTCCACCCACTTCTTTCACGATGAGAACAGTCAGCACTTACCTCCTTCAAGAAACAGTGTCCTGTCTCCTAACGAAAACATTACGTCGCCCTTGCATGTCAGCCAGACAAATAACTACTTCAGGAACGAAAATAACCACGAAGCAAATATTCCTTCTGATGACCGCCTCAACTACCTCAACAACACAAAAGCTAACGACTTTCCAGCCCAAAGACATGTTGGTGAAAGTGAAACACCACCAAAACTATCCCAAACAACAGATCTTTTCCCTCGTTCATCCTCGTCAGAACTTGGTAAAAACAATCTTCCTGGCTGCTCGACTCCAAGAGAACAGCAGCGCAATAATGGAGACTTGAAACATGTCATAAGAAATTCGTCTTCGAACCAGCAGCCGCAAGGTTCAAGCTCTTCTACAGCTCGTGGCAGCAGAGTTTCTGGCAGTGTGCCCGTCCACAGTAAAACCTGTCACCTCTTGTGAGGAGGGAAAGAGGGAGGGGGAAGGGGGTATCTGGAATGTTGGGTAGTTTCATTTGCAGTATGACATCATCAGCAGCAGCTACACCAGTGATCCAAGCAGCAGCAACAGCAGCAGCAGCAGCAGCAGCAGCAGTAGCAGCACAAAAGTAAAAGCCCAAACAACAACAACAACAACAACAACAACAACAACAACAACAGCAACAAGAGGAGCTGCACTGGAGAGAAAAAGAAAGTGAAAATGTTTCACTGACTATCCACCCGCAGCACCATGAACAATATAAATACTTAGAAACAAACTTCTTTCGCAGCACTATGTCGTCATCATCAATATCGTTGTTGTAGTTATCACCATTATTATAATCATCATCATCATTCTCTTAATCCACCAACAATTTCCCATAACACCGTTAGCTGAGGTATCAATGACATGCTACCCATTGCACATCTCGTCCTTGTAAGTTTCCATCAAGACTCCCACTAGATCTAACAACAAAAAAGCTACCCGATCTCTGTAGTTATTTAAATTTTAGTTTGAGTAAAGAGAAGCACACCGACACAATAACAGTTATATTATAGAGCAGGGAAGAAGAAAGACAGAGAGAGACAAAAAAGAGGGAATGAAGTACGACTTGCCAGTGACATCCTCCAATCACCTGCACTATGTTTGTGGTGCTCATTACATGAAGTAGAGATTAAACAAAGAGGTTCAGTGTTCGTCTCATGAATAACGTCTGAGTTTTTCCCCGTTTTTCTGTACAACACGTTGTCTATCATGTGTAGCCTGAATGTGGAATAATAATTTTGAGCTGTTTAAGAAACGGCTTTAGATGGATTGAGGAAAAAAAAAGAGGGGAGGGGGGACGGTTGTTATAAACTCGATCTGATTGGGCTGCTTTAAAAAAAGCACATCGACAAGATGACAGGAAAAGAACAAGATTGGCGAATAGGAAAACAAATGGGCAGAAAAGAAGCAGGATCTACCTGCGACACCTTCCAACCGCCCACTTCATTGTTTGAATTTTGGTGTTCATTTTTGGGGGGTTTCTTCTTTGTTTGTTTGCTAGTTTGTTTGTTGTTGTTGTTTTGTTGTTGTTGTTGTTGTTTTAATAAATAAAGAATTTACAATAAAGAATTTCCTTTTTTATGCATCATTTGTAAAACGAACAGCAATCCTTACATTCCACTCTCTACCTCAAGACAGCTACACAATAATTATGGTTTGGTGTCAACAAAAGGCAACAGGGACCACAATTAGTTGGAAAAAAGTCAAATATGCAGTCTCCTTTAGCTTGAGTTAAGATAAGCAAGATAACAGTCATAAAAAAGGCAGAGAGAAACAAAGTACAAAAGGAACATTCTTTTTAAAACGCCAACTCGTACCTGTGGCACTCTCCAAGAATATTATACTTTATTAAGAGAGCACAAAAGACAATTGATTGTGTTTGCCCACGCGTGCATACACGCAAGAGTGTACTCATGCGGATACGCCCCCCCCCCCCAAACACACACACACTCGTGCACTAGTGCACACATACATGCACGTGCACTCACACAAACACACACACACACACACACACGCACACACGGGGACACACTTTCAGAGAGAGAGAGAGAGAGAGAGAGAGAGAGAGAGAGAGAGAGAGAGAGAGAGAGAGAGAGAGAGAGAGAGAGAGAGAGAGAGAGCGAGCGAGAGAGAGCAATAGAGAAAGAGACCGACAGACAGACAGACAGAGGGAGAAAGAGAGAAGGTGAGAGAGAGAGAGAGACAGAGACAGAGAGACAGAGAAACCAAGAGACAGAGAGACACACACACAAGCGCGCATACAAACACAAACATAGACTAATATATTATTCAATTACTCAGTTGAAATGAATGATAATTACTATTCGCTAGAGAAAAAGAAATAATCGCGCCTAAGTGATCGTGGCAGACCATGATTTATCCTGTTTGTGAAATTATCAATTGTAATCACACGAGCATTTACGAATTTCTGCTGTCAATCTGTTTGTTAAAACACTTTCACTTTTATTTTATCATTCTTCACTGAGGTGCGTTTTTTTAAATTTTTGTTTCCTTTTTAATTTTTCAAATGTTGTTATTTTCATTGTTGCATGTAAACATATAAATGTGATTGGTTCTAACACTGAACTTAGTACTAAATAAAAAAAAGGGAAATGTTATTCTCTTTTTTCCAAAAGAAATTCAATTGCTTCTTCTTTTTTTTTTTTGCTTGTAGATCTATCTCTGTTTTGGTTTTACTTTTAGTTCATTTAATTTGTGGTAGAAATACCATCTGTCTTCTCTTTTCAACACAGTTCAACTATTTAAGAGGAGGTACCATAATAATAATGCCAAGCATCATAATAATATAAAATGCAATGTGCATAGAGCTTGCTGTTGAGCGGGAATTTCGCTGTGCAGATGCAATATAATTTTTTATTTCTTTCATGTAAAATCATTATTATTATCGACACTGCTTGTTTGCAGCAGAACCAAGCTCTGCATTAATCAGCATGTCTGAGCCTTTTTTAAGAAAATCAACTTAAGATTTCAAGCTTCGGATGTGAGAGATCTGGAGGTCGAGCCCATTGAACAAAACGTTCTCTGAAATAGGTCAAAGTGTTTAAATATCTAGAGTCTCTGGGGTGCTCTCGTGGCCTAGAGGTTAAAATGTTGGCCTCTTACTCAAAAGTCCCAGGTTCGAATCCGGGTAGCGACTGAATTTTTTTTTCCTCTAAAATTGTCTCCTTTCACCTCCTTTCCTGATCTCAAGCAATGTTCTGTCGTCTGCTTTTCGTCGCCTCTTTCTGCCCCCACCCACTCACCTCCTTTGCCCCCTCCTCTGGGCTCCGGACTCTTTCTGCACCCTTTCTACTGCTACTCCTTGGCTCCTTCTTCCTACTGTCTTTCAGCCGCCCCCCTGATCTCCTGATAGGAAATATCTACACCTTGCCATCTCTGACAAGGGCGAAAAATTTCGGAGGTCCCGTGTGCAAGTTGCGCATGTTAAAGATCCCTTGGTAGTCTAAAATCGATAAGAGTAGGCTACGGCCACCATCCGGACAAAATTCAAAATTACCTACCAACTGAAAATGTTAAATGTGTCCCGCGCTCATATAACCTTATGCATTTGCAAGCATCGTAAACATCCCCCCCCCAAAAAAAAAAGAGAAAAAGAAAACAAGAAACAAAAGGAAAAAATACCTAGAGTCCCTAGATAGAGAAATAGAAATATGCACTCGAAAAGCTAATCTAATACCGTCAC